CCAAAAGATTATATTGTTCATACATTTTTACAAAATAATTCACAACTATCATTCATTTTTTTTGGTCTAAGCAATTCACCCCCTGAAGATGATTTTTGATGAGATTGAAACTACTTGGGAAAATAAAAAGAAATAACCAAAACTATGGTGTCTTTATTAATCAGTTTGGTAACAGCACTAAGAAATTGATCCATGAATTTGAGATGATTAAAATAAAAATAGACATATGTCCAGATTAGTCAACAAAACATGCTTAAATGAAAATATGCTATGCTGCCTAAAGATGCTGGATGTAACAGCAAAATTGTCCAAATTGTGTAACAGAAAAATTGTCCAATTGTTAGATTAAGATTTGAACCACATTGTGTCTTAGAAATGATTAAAGCTATCTTAATTGAATTTTCCAAGATTTTTATAACACTGTTGGACTATTTTGAACAATAAGAATGCATTCAGCTCTAAGTCAAAATGGTGATCCTGCTTCCTGTTGTGACATCCTGATCCAGTTTTCCTCTCTACTGCACCCCCTTTTTAAAAAACATAATAGGTTTAACAATTAATTTTTTAATTAGTTATAACAGAGCTTCTTCATATGTGTTTAAAATAATTATAACAGAGTGCGTTTCATGCACATTTACAAAATAATTCACAACTATCAATTACATAAATTTTTTGTCTTAGTAATTCATCCCCAAAGATGATCTTGGATGAGATTGAAAGTACTTTTGGAAAAATAAAAGAAATGAGAAAAACGACAGCTTCTTCCCTAATCAGTTTAATAATGACATTAAGAAACTGAGCCGTGAATTTGAGGGGATTCAAATAAAACATGCTTGAATACATATATATATATATATATATATATATATATATGAGAGAGTGTGTATCTCACTGCATGCTGGTGGTAATAAAACAATGCTTTATGTATATTAATAAGAGCTAAAACTTATACTAATAATAAATATATATTTTGTTACTCAGCATTTAGTACAACTCTGAGTTTCATGCACAGTGTAACTGTCAAGCATGGATTGAAAACTGATCATTGTAAAATATAAATATTTATAATCTAGTGTTAAAATAATGGACCACACATTTTATATATAAGTGAACACTGAAGTCAACACTCAGAGACGACAGACTGTTTCATGCTAGATACCTGATGATTGTGTCTAGCATGAAACAGTTTGTCACCTCTGGGTTTTGACTTCAATGTTCACTTTTATATTTACATACGCTCTATCTCTGATATTGAACACTTTATCCCATAAACATAGCACACCTTAAAACTATATATATATATATATATATATATATATTATTATAATAAGATATTAGAACAAAATCATGTTGAAATCCCTACATAATAGCTTTTGTGTTTTGTCACTGCATTGTGCCTCTTCAGGAAATGGTAAGTGACTGGTTATTAAACAATTTTTAAGAAAATTTCAAAAGCAAAGTTACCTCTTTTCCTAAAGTTATATATATGTATGTATATTATAGCCTTCACATTTTCAGTTATATATATATGTATGTATATTATAGCCTTCACATTTTCAGTTATATATATGTATGTATATTATAGCCTTCACATTTTCAACTGACTTAAAGTGGAGCGACTACATTGAATCAATAGCTGCATCTACTGCAAGGAAAGTTGGGTGACTGTCACACCAGAAAATCCTTCTTGTCAGAGTCCATCTTGCACATTTACAAATTTACCATTCATCCATGCATTAAATACCACTGCCATATCTTGTGTGGTGCTCTTGCTATTCATCGCAAGGTTCTTGACAAAATCCAAAGATGGATCTGTAATATAATTGATCCTGACTTGGCATCTTGACTTCAGTTACTTTCTCACAGATGTGGTGCGGCTTCCCTCTGTCTTTTCTACAACTATTTTCATGACAACTTTCCTGACAAGATTTTTTCCCTGGTACCCCAACTACATGAATTTAAGCATGCTACTAGATTGGCAGTTAGGTACCACCTGTTTATTGTTGAAATAGCTAAATGCAACCATCATTTCTACTTCAAAAATTTCTTTTATTGTTCTTCCACCTGTGGAACTCCCTTCCATTTGCTTGCTTCCCTGATAACTACAATCTTCAAAAGTTTTAATTCCACAACAATTGCCATCCTCTATCATCTTGATTATTGTTCATCGTTTGTCCTTTCCTCAATTTTCCCTATACTCAGTCTTTTCTCTCACTTTCAAGTGCCTGTAACCCACCTGCATACTAGTGGCATTGCTTGAGGTAAAATGATTAAAAAGAAAATAAATAATATATATATATATATATATATATATATATATATATATATCTCAAATGAAATGGACTAAGTCCGACAATTATTTTAATATATTTTCTGTTTGTACATTATTTTTATAGATACAAATATTTAAGTAAATGGTCTGTTTATAATAAACAGTATTAACAACATTTACCCACCTGAATGTCCAAGAAATCACAAAGAAAACATGTGTCCTCCTACAGGTTTGGTTTGTTTTATGGCATATCAACACCTCAATGGCTTATTTAATACCAACTAAATTTTTATTGCTGGTAATATGTTTTTCTTCAAAAATCTATTTCTGGGAATATTTTTCCTTGAAGAAATCTATAGCTGGTAATATTTTTTTTTTTGTATTGCTGGTATTTTTTTTTTTTAAAGTATTGCTGATAATTTTTCCTTCAAAAATTATTGCTGATAATATATATTTTTTTTGTTACAATGTATTTCTGGTATTAAAACCTATTTTTACACAAGTTTGGGTGTTAACTATTTGCCCATAGGTGGTATCCAAACAGGTGCTACCACCCTGAATCAGGGTGGACCTGGGAACACCAGCAATTAAGAGGTGGTTCAACGCTCCTCAAAACCTCCTGATCAGAGGTCTTGCTGTTGGACGTAGTTGATTGTCTTACCCAGGACACAGATGTAGTTTATTGTCATACCCAGGATGCTCCACTGACAGGAATCAAACCTGGATCCCACACAGAAACATCATATAGCCTAATGTGCTATACCATATATTTTCTAGGAAATTTCTTGGACATTCAAGCTGGTAAATGTAGTTAATACTGTTTACTATAAACAGAGCATTTACAAATATATTAGTATGTATAAAAATAACATATAAACAGAAAATATATTAAATTATATATAAAATTTAATATATTTTTTGTTTATATATTATTTATATATATATATATAAGTTTTAAAACTTTATGCTTACTCTAGGCTGAGAACGTTTTATAGCTTCTGCAAGGTGCCTACACCACATCAAAGCCTCGGCCTGTGACCCTCCACGTAACTTGTACACATTGCCTACAAGCAAAAATTTAAAAACAACATGTAAATATTGTACATTTTTGGGATAACGCCAAAAAAAAAAAAAAAAAAAGTCAAATTTGTGAACACTGATAATAGATTTTTTTTTTTTTAAATTAGACCAAAAATTTGTCATTTACTAAGATTTAAAATTCAAGGGGGATTACTCACCTTTGCTGGGATTTGATAGCTGGAATGCATCAGGCTGGAAGGGGTTACCTCCCATAACAACCATCCAACCAACAATTGATACCATTTTACTTGGACATGATTTAAACTAGAATAAAAATAAAATTAAAAATAAAATTTTGACAACTCGAGTAAATAGAAAATATATTGATTATAAAAGGTGGTAAATGAAAGATATAGGTGTGCTGTATTATAGCAAATATCTGTTATACACAGAATGAACAAATTTTTATTGGATTTCCAGCAAACTTGAACCTTCATGAAAGAAAGGAGAAAAGAAAGGAGAAAAAAAAGGAAAAAACAGCACTGTTTGTTTTAAAAAGCAATTATTAGAATTGTATTAAAAATTAAATATGATGAAAAATGAATTTATACATTGGGGGGGGGGTCTTTAGAATTTATAACAAATCTATCTATATTTCTGAGATGAGATATTCTAATTATTTACACTATATTTGTTCAGACTGTTGTCTGCATCTTTGTTGCCATATTCACGGCGTTTCGATCGCTGTATGCTCCAGCCTTCTTCAGGATCTGTCTATATTTCTGAGATGAAGTATTCTAATCATTTACATTGTTCAGACTGTTGTCCTTATCTTTGTTGCAATATTCGTAATGTTTCAACTGTTGTACACTCCAACCTTCTTCAGGTGATTGAAGTTTCAAACCAAACCAATTATATCATCCACTAGGGTACATTGTCCTAGTTCCACATGCCATCCCTCTTTCAGACATCTCAGTAAAAGAACTCAACTCTCCACGTTTTTGTTCATTTCTGATGTAGCCTGGTGTTGAACTCACAACTCTTTTGAGTCAGGTCACTGGTTACTTCAACCAAAACTTTTATCCACTTGACCATGTGTACTTGGCTTGGAAATTCCAACATATATCACCTGAACAAGGCCAGAGCGTACAATGGCTGAAACATCATGAATATGGTAACAAAGATGAAGACAACAGTTCAAACAATGTAAATGAATAATTTCATATTTACAACATTCCAAAAAAATAATACAATTTAAACTAATATAATATTTATCATTTAGCAATTTATAAAGAAATAAATATGAAAACAATTCTTATTCATAAATTTATAAACATTTACTAAATTATTAAAATATTTGAATGCCAACTATAAGGAAATCTTTATTTACCATTTTATAAAGTTTGAATCAATTGGCAATTAGCCAATGTTTTGCCAACCATTCCAATAAACAATCTAATAGTGGTTATTATTTTTGTTGTCAATTCTCAAGAACAAAGAAAATGTATAAATTCACTTTCATATGTTTAGATTTTATTAAAATTCTAATCATCACTTTTTAAAACATTGCCAAGGAGTGATGGTGTCAATGGAAAAAATGTACTTTTGACATACCATTCTCTTGGCAGGCATGAAGATGCAAATTGAATTATCACTTCGTCAAATGGTTCACTTAACCAAACAATCAAAAGTTAGGAATTTCAGGGAAGATATGTTTTTTAAATTAGTTAAAAATTTTGTTGCTTATTTACAATATCTTTTTTCCATGGCACAGGAGTTTTCACTTAATAATGTTGTTTAATATTTTGGTTTTATTCTAAGAATATTTTAAAAATGAGCAGAAAATGATGACAAAACAAAGACATTTTTAAAATATTTGTCTTATCTAAAATACATTGGAAATAAATTAAAAATTTAAAATGTTTTTCTCTATTAATTCATAATTACGCTTTATTTACATTATTTGGACTATTGTCCTCATCTTTGTCGCCATATTTATCACAACGTTTCAGCCGTTGTACGCTCCAGCTTTCTTCAGGTGGTTGGAATGTCTAACTGAACCCTTTATTTCACTCACTGGGGTAGACTGTTCTAGTTCCACATGCCATGTTTGATGGATGTCAGTTATCAGATATCTCCTGTTAATTTCCCTCTGAAAGTTCTCCACTTGAGGACACATGGAACAGTGGATAAAGGCGTTGGTTAGATCCAGTGACAGGACACAAGAGTGTGAGTTCAATACCCGGTTAAGGCAGTGGAATTTACTATTTACAGGGAGTGATGGGTAAATTGTTTCCCTTTATATTTTTAATTTTGTGCATGCATATTGTTTGTTTTTGTCGACTATACTATATAATAAGATCAGTTGGGCATCGTTTGAGAAAAAGAGTACCATCACACAATTCACTCTGCCAGAAATTTGAAAATGGCATGCTTTACTGCTTTGTATTAGTGCCAAAAGCTCCAATATGAATAATTCAGAGTAGTTGGGTGTCAATCTGAAGACAGTGCAGAGGATTTAGAAGGAGGTGAGTTTGGTGGTGATCATCAATGCATTTGGAGTAATCAGTAGTGATGGCGATGTTATGCCTCCATTCATCTTTCCACAGAGCCTCAGACTCAACATAGAGGCCCTACATCAATTGCCTTGAGGAGATAATGCTGCACTTGGTCAAGATGGTGGCTGCTGGAAGACCCTATGCCTGGCAACAGGTCTCTGCAATATGCCACAGGAGAAGCCAGTCTTGGCTGTCAGACAATTTCAGCAACCACATCACCACTTACATCTGGCTATTAATTGGTGAAGTGACCTATTCGGCAAAATGAAGAATAGATATAATGGTTTCAGTGAAGCCAATTTTCGGACAAATTACATTTTCTGTTATGAGCCAAGATTTGTATATGTAAGGCCTACCTAATTGGTTATGTGCACAGATGAGAACATAAATGATTTTCGTTTTTTCAGTCAGTTTCCCCCCACCCTAACCTTGACTTTAAGTGCAGTACTAGATTGGCAGCAAGGTATCTTTATTTTACATTTGAAATGGCAAAATGCAACCATAGGCGCTATGCTAACAGTTTCTTCTCTCACTTCTCATTTGTGGAACTCTCTTCCAGCTTCTTGCTCCCCAGTCAACTTTGATCTTCAAAGATTTAAATGCAATGTCAATCATTATCTTCTGTCTTAATTCTTATTCTTTTATTGTCTTTACTTTTCCTTTTTCTCATATTCTTTCATACTCAGTAACTGCTTGCATTTTAGTGGCTTTATTACCTTATTTGGTGGGAAATGATTTAAAAAAAAAACAAAAAAAAAAACAAAAAAAAAAACGTGCTTTTGGGTGATCATAGCTCTCTACAACTTCCTATCCTTTGTAGCTCTAAGTAGTGTTTGTCTCCTTAGCATCTAATCCCAGCCTATGTTCTGACATCCATTGTGACATGAAATTTTCCAAGCCCACCCTTCTCATTGTGTCCAGAAAATTTCATCTGTCTCCCTCTGATTCTGAGTATTAATGTCTTTTTTTTTTGCAATATCAAATTAAAGATGTCTCTTTGGATACAGACGGAAGAGATTTTCAAGACAGATTCATTGGTGCTTCAGTTTCCTATTTCTTTCTTTATAAAAGACCAACAGTGATTGGAAGTTCCAATCTAAACCAGTTAATTAGAATTCCAGAAGAAATTCACCAAAAGCTCAATAGACATTCTCTCTGAAAGAACAAGCTTAAATGAACGATTGCTGCATATATATATATATATATATATATATATATATATATAAAAGGCTCAAACACTAATATTCTATGGTTATAATTTATTACATTGGAATCATAATCACAATCCAATTCATCAGACCTACAAAAAAGAAATCAGTTTGAATTTGTAGGTCTGAATTGGATCATGATTCCAATGTAATAAATTATAACCATAGAATATTAGTGTTTGAGCCTTTTATATCATATTCTTAGTCTGTCCTGGACATTGAGTTCTACCTGGATTCTATCCTTTTGGGAATATATTTTGACCACTAATATTATATAATATTAGTCCGATATTTGCTTGATGATGAAACGGAACTAATGCTTTTAATTTCATTATATATTTAAATTTAAAGTTTTTAGCTTCCATTTTTGAACCATGGTTATTACTGTGTAGTGAAAAAAAACATATTTTAAATCATTTATTTTATATATATATATATATATATATATATATATAGTGCTGCTCAAAAGAAAGTGAACCCTTAAGATAATATTAAAAAAAATTATCTTTTTTCCAGATAATATTCAATAAGAAAAACCTTTATTAAATAAATTACAACCACTTTCAAAAAATTTTATCAAGCTGAAATAAAAATATTAATTAAAAATTAAGATGTACATAAGTGAACCCCCTACATTTAATATTTGGTCACTGCTCCTTTGGAGGTCACAATGTCAGTCAGTCTTTTTCTATAATTTTTAAGAAGTTTCTGGAAGTAGGGAGCATCAATTCTGACCATTCTTCTTGGCAAAACTCCAAGAATTGCTCGATATTACATGGCTTTCTTGCATGTACTATCTTGTGTAACTTGACCAACCAATTTTCAATTGGGTTTAAATCAGGAATTTGATTAGTCCATTCTAAGTTTTGAAATTCTTTTTTTCAAACCCATTCTTTTGTGCGTTTGCTTTGATGCTTCAGATCATTGTCCTGTTGAAAAAGCCAGCCCCAACCTAAAACCAAATTTCAAACTGAGGGCAAGAAACTTTCATTCAAGATTGCTTGGTATCTTGCAGGCTGCTTTTTTCTTTTTTACTTGAAAACATTTTGACATGATAAACCCTGCAATCAGTTTTTATGGTCTTCTGTAGTTTTGTGAAAATCAACAATGTAAAAGACATAAAAGTCAAAGAAAGAATTCATTTCAGAATGTCCAAAACTAAAACAATTGATTGCACATTGTTGTGTGAAAATAAAATTTCATAGTTCTCACCTCATGACATTTTAACAAAGAAATAAAATAAAAATTTATATATGACAAACTCACCGATGTCCTTTCAGACCCACGCAATGATTTTGCTGGATAATACAGCAGTGAAGTACCCCACAGAGCTACCCAATAACGAGTCCATGAAGATACCTGAATAAATTTAAAAAAAAAAAAAAAAAAAAAAATCCCAAATCAGAAATTTAGCAAAGATATGATGCAGTTCAAATGAGCAAGATACAAATCAACAAATGGGCAATGACAACTTGCATTCGATTAATCTCAAAGTCAAACCTTTGTTTCAAACCACAAGAGCTAGGTTTATCCAAACTTATCATTGGTAAGTATAAAATCTCCAGAAAATAGACAGCCATTTAATATTTATGGAAAGGAAAGAAAAAAGTTTGTGTGTATGTGTGTGAAGGAGAGAGAGAGAGCGCGAGAGAGCACGAGAGAGAGAGAGAGCGACAGGGAGGAGAGCGAGAGAGAGCGACAGGGAGGAGAGCGAGAGAGAGCGACAGGGAGGAGAGCGCAAGAGAGAGACAGGGAGGAGAGCGCGAGAGAGAGACAGGGAGAAAAGAGTGAGAGACAGGGATAAAGGAAAGAAAGAAAAGAAAAAAGAGCCTACCTAGGGCAAGTATGCTTTAGTATTCTTCAAAATATTTCTTTTGCGACATCAAACAATTATAACCCAGCGTTCTTTCCACTTTTTAAATCAATCTCTTTAAGGGTCACAGGGGGCCAAATATACCCTACATAACATATCAAGCATTTACCAAGACATTGCGAATATGATGGACAAATCATACCCAAGATCACTCAGTTGTATCACACTGCCAACTGAGTAACTTAACATAAGAGAATAACTGCTTAAACATGCATAATAAAGTTACATCAAGACTGTACAACCAGTTCTCAAGATATGCATAATGTCTGAATACATTTCAGACAGAAGTTATACATTATGTTTATTTTTATAGATTTCATTTAGTATCTGTCTATATTTCCAAGATAAGGTATTATGTACACTATTTATATTATTTGGACTATTGTCCTCATCTTTGTCGCCATATTTATTACAACATTTCGGCCGTTGTACGCTCTGGCCTTCTTCAGGCGGTTGGAATGTTGAACTGAACCCTTTATTTTGCTCAGTTATCTCCTGTTAATTCCCCTCTCCAAGTTCTCCACTGCCTTAACCAGGTATTGAACTCACACTCTTTGGGTCCTGTCAGTGGATCTAACCAACAATGCCTTTATCCACTGTCCTTGAGGACATCTGTGTATGAATTTCTGGGTATTATAAAGCTAATGTCTTCAGCTCATTTTTTACCAGTGCTCATATTGCAATTTTTGCTGTTATCATTGCATGTTTTTACCAGAGTTCATATTGCAATTTTTGTTGTTGTTATCGCTTTTCTCTGGCACTCCTTATTACTGGTTCCCATATTGTATTCATTTCTATGCTTGGTCGGCTCAGGAGATTTTTTGTGGCCTAGCATATCTGCTATTTCCTTAAGTTTACAAATTTTTCCAATGGAAAATTCATAAACTTAAGGAATCAGCACATATGCTATAAATATGGCAACAAAGATGAGGACAATAGTCCGAATAATGTAAATAGTATATTTGATTTATTCAAACTGATGTTCTCATCTCAGCTGTTGTATTTGCAAGCCTCCTGCAGATGTCAGCTGTGTTTGGTAATGTTCTAGAAATCTTAAGCTGAATTTTTTTATTCAATCTATGTTATTAAATTGTTCTCATTCACTGTCCTTCTTAGGGGAGATAACTCCCCCTAAGATGAATCAGTGAGTTAACTCAATGATTCATCCTAAAGATGCTTCTTCTGCTGTTTCCTCAAAAATCAGAGTATATGACTAACCCTGGTTGACCCAAGGATTGATCTTACAACCACTAGAAAATTGCATGCACTTCAACAACATGATGTATGTGATTCATGCCTAGAAATGCAAAAGATCAGAACCAAATTTAATGTCCATCACAAACCTTTGTTCTAAGAAGAGTTGATCTGTGGTGACTCCAAAATATACTGGGTTTACTTTAAGAGATACTAAAGTAAGATTTGTACTCTGTGTCATATCAGAACATCAAAAGTGCTTAGAGTATAAATCAAAATGTGTGGCCCTTTGAAGTCATTTTTGTGATTCTTTTTGTATTTAAACTGAATGTCTTTTGTAATAAATGAAATGTATTATTTTAAATAGACAAAAAATTTAGAGTTGGAAATTGATCATCATGCTATTAGTTCAACGACAGGTAGTGAACTTGTTCAGGATAATTCAAGACTATAATGAAATAGTAAAAACAAACAAAATTAGGAAAGAAAAGTGTAAAAGAAAGATGCACCAACTCAACAGTTTTATTCAACCTATATGACAAGATGATCCTCAGTGAACTAGGAGTTCTACTGGGATTTATCATCAGCTGACATAATCTTCAAAACATGAGATATGTGGATGGGATTGTGGGTTTTTTCATTGATATAAAAACTAAATAAATAATTTACCCATATGATGTACATGCTAGTAAAATCCAAAAAATCTGAACCAAATCTAATGTCTATCACGAACCTTTGTTCTAAGAAGAGTTGATCAGGGTACACAGTTTAGATATCAGTTATTCACGAGTATATACAGTAATGTGTTACATAAAATGACCAAGGTTTTTGTGCTGCTATCAATTTTATAAACACATGAATAGATAGAGTACAGGTAGTTTGGGGGGGGGTGAGGATAAAAAACATAGAAGATCACATCAAATAAAGAAGGAATTTTTTAATCACTGTAAGATTCTTCTTCCATGAAATTCTGGCAATTAAACACAAATCATCCACGTATTTCATAGGATGGCAACATTTCTGTCCATCCCTGGAAAACCTGATTTAATCCACACCTCATAAATAAACATCTCGGCATTTATAAATAGTAAAAGACTTTTCAAGAGCTCCAAGATATTATTTTTTTCATGTTGTCAGTTTTCTTATTCTGGAAGTGATGTGTTCAGATATGTCACATTCCTTAGCACCACTGTGGTTTAAGGAAGGGGAGAGAGAGACGGACAATTAAGGTAGGTTGAAGGGAGAGAGAGAGAGACGGACAATTAAGGTAGGTTGAAGGGAGAGAGAGAGAGAGAGACGGACAATTAAGGTAGGTTGAAGGGAGAGAGAGAGAGAGAGAGACGGACAATTAAAGGTAGGTTTGAAGGAGAGAGAGAGAGAGAGAGACGACAATTAAGGTAGGTTGAAGGAGAGAGAGAGAGACGGACAATTAAGGTAGGTTGAAGGGAGAGAGAGAGACGGACAATTAAAAAAGGTTGAGGTTGAGAGAGAAGGACAATTAGAGAGAAGGAGAGAGAGACGGACAATTAAGGTAGGTTGAAGGAGAGAGAGAGAGAGAGCGGACAATTAAGGTAGGTTGAAGGAGAGAGAGAGAGAGAGAGAGACGGACAATTAAGGTAGGGTTGAAGGGAGAGAGAGAGAGAGAGAGAGAGACGGACAATTAAGGTAGGTTGAAGGAGAGAGAGAGAGAGAGAGACGGACAATTAAGGTAAGGGGGAAGGAGAGAGAGAGAGAGACGGGACAATTAAGGTAGGTTGAAGGAGAGAGAGAGAGAGAGAGACGGACAATTAAGGTAGGGTTGAAGGGAGAGAGAGAGAGAGAGACGGACAATTAAGGTAGGTTGAAGGGAGAGAGAGAGAGAGAGAGAGACGGAAACTTACTGTAGGTTGCGAGAGAGAGAGAGACGGATAGTGTAGGTTGATACCGTAGGTTGGGGAGACAGAGAGGGTTGGGGATACAGAGAGGATACGTGTTGGGGAGACAGAGAGAGTGATACCGTAGGTTGGGGAGACAGAGAGAGTGATACCGTAGGTTGGGGAGACAGAGAGAGTGATAACGTAGGTTGGGGAGACAGAGAGAGTGATAACGTAGGTTGGGGAGACAGAGAGAGTGATACCGTAGGTTGGGGAGACAGAGAGAGTGATACCGTAGGTTGGGGAGACAGAGCGGGATAACGTAGGTTGGGGAGAGACACTTACTGTAGGTTTCTTTCCTTCTTTGAGCAACGTCTTACGTCGTAAGCACCCTTCGTATGTAAAATTTGTTTCAAATGTATCATGAACATCTTCTGAACCACGAGTCCTGGAGAAAAAATTTAAAACGTATTTATCCAATAATTTTAACATATTTCACTCATATAGGCCCTCATACAAAATAATATATATATATATATATATATATATATATATATATACAGACATTGATGATAATCATTAAAAAATCTGGATTTTTATACTAAGGTTAAACAATATCATTTGTTATTAGTGAAGTATACAAAACTACATCAGCGACATGGCAAAGTATCATATGCAGACTTGTGCTCAATTTGTTCTTTGGTCTTTAATCAAATTTATTTATTAAAAAAAAAAAAAAAAAAGCTTCTCAAACTTTATCTTAAGATAAAGAAAGCTGATTGTGAAATATTTCTCAGAGTTAACCTGTAGAAAAAGACAATATTTATAAATGTAAAAGACAATAGGAAAACTGTAATAGTTGTCGACGCATTTTGAAAAGTCGGACGAAATGTGTCGGCAACTATTAATTTTCCTATTGTCTTTTACATTTATAAAGCTGATTATGATACTTAATTTTTTTTCTAAATGATCATAAGAAAAAAATTGGCTTGAATAATTTTTACTGATTTAGTTTTAGAAAATTACTCAGTGTCAGATGATTTCACAAACTTAATTGAAAAATATCAATTTTCAAAGGGAAGTTACTCTATGTACCTTTGAGAATATTACTGCCTTTCATGAATTTTATTCGTTTGTATTTAAATACATTTTTAATTTTGACTGTTAATAGTGCATTTGCTTATGAGAAGAGATTTTTTTTAAAAAAAAAGGTGAATTAAAATTTTACTAAAAAAAAAAAAAAATTTACTGTAAGAAGTTAAAAATAAAATAAATATTAATATTTTACTCAAGTTGTCTCCTTTTATTTGTTCAATTTTTTTTTAAATTTTGAACCAGAACAAATTCATAATTTCAGATATTTTAATGCAGAAAACATAACGTGTGTGTGTGTGTGTGTGTGTGTCTAAAAGCCAGTCAAGGAAGGTTCGTTTTAACTATTCATATTGTAAAATAAACATAGCTAAATAGAAAAAAAGTTAAAAAAAAATGTTAACGGTCATTTCTCAACTGTTGTTTTTAATGAAACATGCATTATTGAAGAGCTATTGCTTAAGTGTGTGTGTGTGTGTGTGCGCGCGATTTGTGTATTCTATTTTTTATGCATGTAAAAGTGCTCTATTTTAAATAAGTTTTTAAAAATAATATAGCACGTTTACATGCATATTAAAAACGTGTTAAAAAGCTGTTTTAAGAGCTTTTTAACACACAGAAATAATGTTTTTTTTTACGAGTTCACTTATTAAATCTTCAGCCATATTCATAGATAAACAAAACTGTGCAGTAATCTAATTTATTAATGGTGGAATTAAGGTGTGAATATATAATTCCAGTCTTCTCAGTTTAATGTATTTTATATTTTTACAGACTGACGAAATTGAACAATGATAAATAAGCCTTCTGAAGTTCATCTAACGTTCACAGTTGCTAGTTAGTAAAACTGTAAGGAAGTCACTGTAAACAAAAGGTTGAATGAAGAAGGGTTTAATCACATGAGAACACGGATTGAGAATATAGTAGTTCAGTGCAACAGGCATACAACTGAAAAGTGTTACGCCTTTGCGACCCACTTTTTGTCACTGTACCATATATTCATAACGAATGGACAAGTGCATGTTTCAATAATAAGTGTGGAGAAGGTTAGTCAGTCTACATAGCAATAAGAATTCAAAAAACTGATTTTGACATGTTTCACTGGTCAAAACATGTCATTGGAAAAATGGATTTTATTTCTACATTGGTGAGACAGAATGGCTTCATGTTAGTCATATTAATTTCTTTTGACAGCATCATTTTTTGAGTTAAGATTTCATAATTTCAACTCACATTTCCTGTCTTATATATTTACTATTGCATCAGATAGTCAAATTTAAATCTAGCAATGCAATTCAAATATTTCTATTTTATTCAAAATCAAAACAAACTGATTCTGCAAATCAATAAATAACTCACCACTCCATTGATTAGGAGACTGAAGAAATTGGTCATATTTAAGAAGAAACAAAGCAAGACATGACTTTCTGAGAGAGAGAGAGAGAGAGCAAAGGAACTGATCTTTCATGCTCTTGAAAACAAACAAAAATCTTTTAGAAATAAAATATTTACCTTTCTGTGGGTAACCAAAATGATTCAGGTTCTATTGTACATGATTCAGGGTAATCTCGTTCGTAAACTGGAAAAGGAATAATTATTACTATTATGATAAATAATTAAAATATAATATTACAATTTTTTTTTTTTTTTTTTTTTTTTAATCGTTTCACCCCAATCAAGGCAATGATGCTACCAGAACAAAGAGGGTCACAGGAAGTGAAAGTGAAAGTGCAAAGAATGAGAAGACTGAGAATGGAGATGATTGAGGAAAAGGATAAAAAAAAAAGGAACAGGCTTCAAGAAGACAAAAGATGGTGATTGACATTACATTTAAATTTTTGAATATTGTAGTTATCAGGGAAGCAAGAAATCAGAAGGATTTGAACTGATGGGTAGGGTGAGAAAAAAAAATTATAGTAGAAATGACAGTTGCATCTAGCTAGTTCAACAGTAAAATACTGAAACCTAGTTAGCAATCTAGTAGCATGATTAAATTCATGCAGATGAGGTAATAAGAAAAAGAAAAAAAAGCTCATCATATCAGTTGCCATGAAAAAAAAAAAGAAAAAAAAAAAAAAAAAAAAAAAGGAAGCCAGGTCACACCATTGAGAAAATGACTGGAGTTGAGATGCCAGGTTTGGATCTATTATATCACAGAGCCTACTTTGGATTTTCTCAAGAATCTTGATATGTACAGCAAGAGCACCAAACTAGATATGGTAGCAGTATTCAATGCACGGACGAGTGGCAGATTTATAAATGTGCAAGATTGATTCTAATGAGAAACATTTTCTGAAATGATACAGTGAATCAACTTTCTTTGCAGTTGATATAGCAATTGATTCAATATAGTTACATCCACTTCATGTTAGTGGAAAATGTGGTGATGGTGGTGAGTGTCAATCTCCTAGAGGCTAGCATCAGATAGCAGACAAAAAAAGGTTATCTGCGGTGATTAAATGAGAGCAGTTTTGTTTTGGAGACGTTAAAATTTGCAAGCCATTTCTTGCCCCAGTTAACAACTGATTGGAGGTCCATTTCAAAAACAACTGAAGACATGGGTAACTTGTTGTGTCATCAGCAGAAATAGCTAATTAGGAATTGATGACATCGGGGAGATCATTGATGAAGATTAGAAGATCCAGTGATAGAAACCTGGGTGACTACCACATTAATGTAAAACCAATTCTGTTTATTGTTTTAACTGCCACTATTAATAGCATGTATTACATTAGTTGTTGCTTTTTTATATTTGTTAACAATTTAAAACAATGTCTATGACAGTAGAAATTAAAACAGTACAAGGACATTAAACTTAGCCTAATAATTCTAAATTCAATTCTAAATTCAAATCTTAATCATTATCTGTACTCCTTATCTTCATAATCATCACTTCCTACCACCATCTTGTTCATTCACATTTAACAATTTCTATCTTGAGTGACTCAAGCCTTATATTGATTGGTATTTAGTAAAAAAAAAACAAAAAAAAAACTATAGCTGAAGTTTACATTTGTAAACCTACTCTGATAATAATGCTGATCATATTTTTGAAGATTTTTTTGTGTTTGTTACAAAGCAGTAAATATTCATCACTTCCATTTAACAACCAGTTATCCATGTCTTGGCAGAAATTAAAACAGTACAAGGACCTTAAACATTATTTACATTATTCAGACTATTGTCCTCATCTTTGTCGACATATTTATTACAATGTTTCGGCCGTTGTATGATCGGGCCTTCTTCAGGTGGTTGGAATGTCAAACTGAACCCTTTATTTCGCTCACTGTTCTAGTTCCATGTTTAATGGATATCAGTTATCAGTTATCTCATGTTAATTTCCCCTCTGAAAGTTCTCCATTGCCTTAACCAGATATTGAACTCACACTCTTTGGGTCCTGTCACTGGATCTAACTAACGCCTTTATCCACTGGGCCATGTGTCCTCAAGGTTAAGGCAGTGGAGAACTTTCAGAGAGAAATTAACAGGAGATAACTGATAACTGACATCCATTAAAACATGGCACATGAAACTAGAACAGTCTAAACCCAGCAAGCAAAATAAAGGGTTCAGTTCAGCATTCTGAAGAAGGCTGGAGTGTACAACGGCCAAAACGTTGTAATAAATATGGCGACAAAGATGAGGATAATAGTCCAAATAATGTAACTAATATACATAATACCTCATCTCAGAAATATAGACAGATACTGAAGGACATTAAATTTAGCCTAATAATTCTAAATTCAAATGTCAATTGTTATCTATCCCTATCTTCATAATCTTCATTTCCTACCACCGCCTTGTTCATTCACATAACACATCTCATTTCCATTTAACAGTTTCTATCTTGAGTGGCTCAAGTAATCTCTTATTCTGCCTAATAAGATCTATGGTAAGAATGAATCTTCTATCAGTCACATAATTATCATTATAGTCTATCGTTACAATTGTCTTATTCTATCATAAATGATTTTACTATTAGTTAGTGTCAAGAACATGGCTAACTGTACTTCCATTCAAAGAGGTAACCCCACACACTACTAAAAAATTTTTACTGTACCTATGTGTACCTTTTCAACTCTTGTACAAGCAAAACTTATGTCTACTTTTCTATTGTTTATAAAAACTACAGAATTCAATATTAACTAGTGTAGAAAATGTTGATATACCAAAATGTGTTAATCTTTCTATCTGCTTAGTTTCAGCAGAATTTGATGTAGGTCTTGGAACATACCCCACTTAGAGATAAAAGGGGGTGGACAAAAGAAAAAGAAATAGATATAGCATTACTTACTCGGTGTCTTACCCGACATGGAACCTTCACTTGAAGCACACGGAGACTCCTCCAAAACGCTGTCATCAAGGAGGTGTCGAATGCCTTGGACGTATGGTGCAGTTGTGCGGGAGGGAAGGCTGTAGGCCTTCTCATGAGGATGGGTACAGCTCATGAAGCTGTAACACAAATAGGAGCTATGAGGCGTCAATTGAACACTGGAAGGTAAGCAAATGGCAGAGGTATTTAGACAACAGGAGGGTGGTAAAAGCAAAGCAGGGCTTTCATGCAACATCAGCAGCCATAGCAGACCAAATTTTGTATAGAAAGGTGTTAGCACGAAAGGTTAAGAATATAGGGACTGGCATGCACATATGTTGGTTAATGAAAGTTGACATGCATTTAAAAAAAAAAAAATTCATGGTATGTAAGTGTTAGGACGGACATCATAACCAAGGGAGGTAACTCGCTCCCTAGATGTGAACCAAGTTATGTCCCTTGATTAGAACTAACCAGAAAAAAAGTCGGGGGATTTTCAAGCTGTCTGGTATTCCCTCCTGTTCCCTCCCAGACACTCTTATCAATTAGCTAGTTTTAAATCTGTTGCTTACCAATAGTGAACAAAATGTATAAAAAGGTTCGAACTGCATGTTCGTTCTTATTTGACATAAATAACTACAGCCGGGGTCTAAGTAATAAGACACTCTTAAAATAAGGTTCAAAATAAATAAATTAAAATAATTTCATTTTAAAATCTTCTAAGTCTTAAATAGCTAATTTTATCTCCAACACACTCTACCACCAGTTACAATATCCCAGATGGTCAATTCTAATTAGCCTGACTATAATATTGACACAAACAATATTATTATTATTTGTATCATTATTACTCTTACTAGTAGTAACAGCATTATAACTACTAATGTAATAGTAATTATCATAAAGTACCGATAATGTTTGGTTTGTTTTACAGCATATCGGCATATCAACCTCAATGAGTCATTTAATGCCGGCAAGATTTTTACTGCTGATAATTTTTTTTTTTAATTGTATTGCTGCTAAATTTTTTTTTTTTAATTGTATTGCTGCTAAAATTTTTTTTTTAATTGTGTTGCTAATTTTTTTTTTTTTAATTGTATTGCTAATTTTTTTTTTTAATTGTATTGCTAATTTTTTTTTTTAATTGTATTGCTACTAATTTTTTTTTTTTAATTGTATTGCTACTAATTTTTTTTAATTGTATTGCTATTTTTTTTTAATTGTATTGCTGCTAATTTTTTTTAATTGTATTGCTGCTAATTTTTTTTTAAATTGTATTGCTGCTAATTTTTTTTTTTAATTGTATTGCTGCTTTTTTTTTTTAATTGTATTGCTGCTAATTTTTTTTTTTAATTGTATTGCTGCTAATTTTTTTTTTTAATTGTATTGCTGCTAATTTTTTTTTTTAAATTGTATTGCTGCTAATTTTTTTTTTTAAATTGTATTGCTGCTAATTTTTTTTTTTTAATTGTATTGCTGCTAATTTTTTTTTATTGTATTGCTGGTAATAATGTACTTTTGGTAATAATTTTTCTTCAAAAATTCATTGCTGGTAATAAAACCTATTTTTACACTTTCATAGGGTTTTTTGACCCCAGTTCAGGAGTTAACATGGAATGGTAACACCAGTTATAGTTAAGTTGAATCTGCGAACACAAGCAATTAAGAGGTGGTTTCACGCTCCTCAAAACCTCCTTATCAGAAACCTTGCTGTTGGACGTAGTTTATTGTCTTACCCAGGACGCGGATGTACTTTATCGTCATATCTAGGACATTTGTTGTTTTGCTTTATGGCATATCAACCTCAACAGGTTACTTAATGCTGGCAAAATCTTTATTGCTGATAATATTTTTTTCCTTCAAAAATCCTATTGCTGGTAATATTTTTTCAAAAAATGTATAGCTGGTAATTTTGTAAGTATAGCTGGTAATAATTTTTTTCCTTCAAAGTATTTCTGGTGTTAATACCTTATTTTTACACTTTCATAGTATTTTGACCCCAGTTTGGGGATTAACTATTTACCCATAGCTGGGGCCCTCATAAGTGCTACCACCCTGGGCAAGGATAGACTTGGGAACACCAGCAATTAAGAGGTGGTTCCATGCTCCTCAAAACCTTCCAATCAGAGGTCTTGTTGTCGGACATAGTTTATCATCTTACCCAGGACACCTCATTCGGTAGGGGTCTTACCCCTCTTCAGAGGTGCAGTCATCATACTCTGAAGCCCCAGTCAACAGGGTAAACTAGGTTTGTCAGTTCCAACTGACCCATCAAATTAAATATTCCTCAACACACTCCTATCATTAATCAACTGGAAACTACAGAAGAAAGACACCTAACTGAAAGGAAATACCTGTAGCAGTAAAACACTATCTGGGAGATTAAACACTATAAAGTAACAAAAAAGAACTTCTATCAGTCCAACAATGTGATCAACATTAACTAATAGGCAAGCATGAGCAATCCATGACAGCTTCAAATCATGGTTACTTGGCATTTTAGAAAAATGGCCATGTAAAATAATTAAAACCTAGCAACACATTAATTTAAAAGTTTTGGAAAAATTGAACAATGACGACATTTTTTTTTTTTTTATTTTAAATGAAGTTTAGGAGAAAGAATCTATTTCATGTTGATGCAAGTCCAAGTGACAGGAAATTTTGCAAAGTTTGAGAGAATGTCAAATACGAACGTTTTGGAAGTTTAACAACAATCCGATTTGATTGCTTTTTTTACGATTTATCAACCCTTTATGGCTTATTTAAATCTGAAGCATATTTTGGATTGTAAGAATAATTTAATTTTTTTTTAAATAAATATTGCATTAACATTTTTTTTTTTTTTTTAGAATGATGATTTCTTCAGATACAAATCCTACTATTTAACCCATAGCTGAGGGAAGATGGATTAAAGTGTATTTACATGTAAATGAATGCAACTGAAATTCAAACTGCTCTCCAATTCCTCATTCTGAGCCACTATCCATTACACCACCCACACATCCAGAAGATCTTTGTTTATACAGTGTAACCCGGATATAAGAGAGATTTTATCTGGTCCCAAAGTGTTCCCATACTTACCTAAACAAAATAGACCAAACCCGGATATAAGAGACTTCTCCTCCGGTCCCGACAACTCTCTTATATCTGGGTTACACTGTACTTGTTTATCATGCTACATTTCAATTTACATAAAAAAGAAAGAAAATACACCCTCCCCTCTACACTTAAGCTTAAAGAAAGAACTTTATTGAAATGCTAAAACAAATTTGATAAATACTTTGTTATGCTCAAACAAATAAGTTTAACAAACAATACAAGAGTTACCTCCAGTCATTTTCTTTGGACTAATATCCTCATCTTTGACTTTTTTTTGCCTAATATTTCAACCATGTAGCCTCCAATCTTCCTTGGGGATCTATTACCAAATTTTTGGAGTACATCCTCTTCTCCCCATAGACACAACATAAAAAAATTGAATATGTTCTGTGTAAGGAAGTGAGTATGTACTCCAAAAATAGGTTGGTTGGTTGATTTTGTTTAGCAGCATATCAGCCTGTATGCTTTATTTAATGCTGAAATCTAAATATTTTGACACAATTGTATGCATAGCCTTCAACTACCAAGAAAATGTAATGTTGGTAATTCTTTTATATAAAATGTAATGCTTGTATTTTTATACTTTCATAGGTTTTGTTTTTATTTGGGGTTTCATTATTTGCCCATAGCTGGGACCCGAACTGGTGCTACCACCCCATATCAGAATGGATCTTGGAACAACAGCAATTAAGACATGGTTTCACGCTCCACAAAACCTCCAATCTCCTGATCAGAGACCTTACTGCCAGATGTAGTTTCAAAAATAGGATTTGTTAACAGATACCAAAGGAAAGTTGGAGTCAATGTTTGTCTTTCTCAACCTCCACATGATTGCTCCTTGAGTTTAACCCTAACCCCTACCACATGGACTATTTGCTTGCTCCCTCCTGACTACCACCCTAGGTATGATGATAAACTACATCTATGTCCAGAGTAAGACAATAAACTATGTCCAACAGCAAGGCCTCTAATCAGGAGGTTTTCAGGAGTGTGGAACCATCTCTTAATTGCAGGTGTTCCCAGGTCCACCTTGACCTGGGGTGGCAGCACTTGTTAGGGTCCCAGCTATGGGCAAATAGTTGACACCCAAACTTGTGTAAAAATAGGTTTTAATACCAGAAATACATTGTAATAAAAAAAAAATTATCAGCAATAATTTTTGAAGGAAAAATTATCAGCAATACTTTAAAAAAAAAAAAAAAATACCAGCAATACAAAAAAAAAAAAAATTACCAACTATAGATTTCTTCAAGGAAAAATATTCCCAGAAATAGATTTTTGAAGAAAAACATTACCAGCAATAAGAATTTTGTCAGCATTAAATAACCCATTGAGGTGTTGATATGCCATAGACCAAACCAAATCCTCCTGACTAATGACCCTGACATACTTATTATTGAAGAGTTTGTGGGCAGATTGCTTTAGTATTCTTACTCTCCAATGTCTCCCCCCGCCACATCATCCATCTTATTTTCATCCCATTCCCCCATACATCATCCATCTTATTTTCATCCCATTCCCCCCCCCACACATCATCCATCTTATTTTCATCCCATTCCCCCCCACATCATCCATCTTATTTTCATCCCATTCCCCCAAAATCCATCTTATTTTCATCCCATTCCATCTTCCTTGCCCTGTACACATGGTCACCAATATCAGATTTTAAAATGACTGTGCATTACAGTCTTCAAGTATTTTTTTTAATCTTATTTTTTTGAGGATACCCAGTTTCATCTCTGTCACAATAAACCCTGAGGAAGGCTGGAGGAAACACGTCTGAAATCTTGCCAAATTAAAAAGGTGAGGAAATTAGTCTGAACAAAACTACAAACAATGATAACATCCCTCCAACCCGAACAAAATACAAAGAGCAACTATTAATTCCCATATTTAGTTAAGATTAGAAACTCTTTTTTTTTTTTTTTTTTTTTTAGTGATTTACATATGTGCCAGGTGAATGAGGAAAAAAAAACTGTTACATGGCATTGCATTATGGGAAGCATAATATGTAATGGCTTTCTGAGCAGATGTGGAAATGCCAAAGTTAGTGCATGGTTCATTAGACGAGGCACAAGACATAACGGCTTTCTGAGCAGATGTGGAAATGCCAAAGTTAGTGCATGGTTCATTAGACGAGGCACAAGACATAACGGCTTTCTGAGCAGATGTGGAAATGCCAAAAAGTTGTGCATGGTTCATTAGACGAGGCACAAGACATAACGGCTTTCTGAGCAGATGTGGAAATGCCAAAGTTAGTGCATGGTTCATTAGACAAGGCACAAGACATAACGGCTTTCTGAGCAGATGTGGAAATGCCAAAGTTAGTGCATGGTTCATTAGACGAGGCACAAGATGTAAAGGTGTTTTGAGCAGGTGGGGGTTTGGGATTTGAAAGTTAGTGCAAAGTTCAATATAGGAAACTTCATGTAATAAATTTCTGATATATTGCATTAAATATTAAAAAAAAGGAATTTCTTTCTCGATAAAGAGTTTTTTTTTTCAATTGAGCTGAAGTATTGTCATGTTTTCTTATTTTACCAAATCTTTAATCTCCAAATGTTTTTAACCATTATATATTTTTGCTCTGAGTTTTAACAAGTTTTGATGAAAATGGTAAAAGCAATTCAACAAGAAATGTGAATATATTCTGAGGAATGCTCAAATAATTAAAATTAAAACTTGCATATAAAAGTTAGAATTCTTTTATTTAAACAAAAAAAAAAAGAAGGAAGAAATAAACTGAATTGGAAAGGAAGACCAAATAATAGACTTACTTGGCTCCTAAGCTCTTGCATTTTCGGTGTCCTGGGTTGAATTTTATTGGGGGAGCAGCACCAGGACTGAGGACATTGACAGAACGGGGTTCAGTAGCAGGTGAGGGAGGCAAGGCTGACACATCTTCACGAGAAGAGGACAATGGTGATTGTCCTTGACTAGGGGGCTCCAGTTTGAGAGACAGTCTTCAAAAGAAAAAAAAAAAACAATTACTTAAGGCAAGTCTGACACAAGACTAATATATTCAGAGTATTTAAGTAAAAAATTCTTGAAACCTCAACAAACAAAATTTTTCTTCAGATAAATTAGTGAGAAATTTTGTACCATTTTTAAATCTACAAAAATAGTTATAAAATTTTTTCACAGTGTATCTTCCAAAGAACATTAACTTATAAAGCCTTTTTTCATGTTACAATTGGGAACAAAATTTGTTTTTTTCATAAGAATTGGAAACATAATTTGTTTTTTTCATAAGAATTGGAAACACAATTTGTTTTTTTCATAAGAATTGGAAACACAATTTGTTTTTTTCATAAGAATTGGAAACACAATTTGTTTTTTTCATAAGAATTGGGAACACAATTTGTTTTTTTTTTCATAAGAATTGGGAACATAATTTGTTTTTTTTTTCATAAGAATTGGGAACATAATTTGTTTTTTTTTCATAACAATTGGGAACATAATTTGTTTTTTTTTCATAACAATTGGGAACATAATTTGTTTTTTTTTCATAAGAATTGGGAACAATTTGTTTTTTTTTCATAAGAATTGGGAACATAATTTGTTTTTTTTCATAAGAATTGGGAACATAATTTGTTTTTTTTCATAAGAATTGGGAACAATTTTTTTTTCATAAGAATTGGGAATATAATTTGTTTTTTTTTCATAAGAATTGGGAACAATTTGTTTTTTTTCATAAGAATTGGGAACATAATTTGTTTTTCTTCATAAGAATTGGGAACATTTGTTTTTTTCATAAGAATTGGGAACAATTATTTTATGTTAGAATTAAGAATATAATTTCAAACTGCATTGACAGTAATAATCATTTTTGTTTTTAATTACATTCTAATAATCGTTCATGATAAAATAAGCATTTTTACTTTTTTTGTAGAAATTTAATGTTTTATTAGATCAAATAAGATAAACATAGGTGTTAAAACTTGCCCACAGCTGACCCAGAAATGTGCAAGGCAGTGGCATTCAACCAAAAATTTGTTTTTTTAATGCTAGCATCATCAAAAACTTAATGCCACGAGCAGCATCACAAATATTTTAATGCCACTATCAACATCATCTAAGCATAGTACTAGATTGGCAGCTAGGTCTCATCATTGTACAGCTGAAATTACTAGATGTAACTGTAAGTTCTATGCTAACAGTTTCTTCTCTTACACTTTTTGCTTATTAAACACGCTTCTTGCTTTCCAGTCAATTTTGATCTTTAAAATTTTAAATACACTGTTAATCATTATCTTCCGTCTTCTTAATTCTTGTTCTTTTATCGTTCTGGGTTCTTAATGTTTTTTTCTTATTTCTCATATTCTTTCACACTCAGTAACCCCTTGCATCTTAGTGGTTTTATTGCCTTGCTTCGGGTGAAATGATGGAAGTAAAATGAAAAATGACAAAGGGAGAAAGGCTTACTTATAATTGTCGTCCTCAACAAATTTCTGTAATTCTTCTATGTATCGAACAGATTTGAGGTAATTCTGGACATGTTCAAGAACTAACAGATGATCTGAAAATGAAGCAGAATAATCAAATAAATATAATCATTAAATACATTAATATACACAATAAATCTTTTAAAAAAAAAAAAAAAAAAAAATGATCCCATACCAGTCACTGCAACCATGATCACTTGCAAATTCAAATCCACTGAAACAGAGAAAGCAGGTTTAAAATATAGTTGAGTTTGGTTAGATGTTACCATAAATTCTATGCTAACAGTTTCTTTTCTTGCTTGTGGAACTCCATTCCGACTCCATGCTTTTCGGCCAACTTTAATCTGCAAAAATTTAAATGCAATGTCAATCGATATCTACTGTCCGCCTGATTACCCTCTTCTCTTTCTGCTCATTATTAATGTTTCTGTTCTTAATTCTTCCACACCCAGTAACCCCTTGTGTCTTAGTGGCTTTAGTACCTTTCTTCTGTAACTCCTTTCCGGTTCCATGCTTTCTATCCAACTTTAATCTGCAAAAATTTAAATGCAATGTCAATTGCTATCTACTGCCCTCCAGATTAGTCTTTCCTCTTCCTCCTAATCTATATAATAAATGTCATTGTATCACACTTTTTCAACTTTATTCCTAGAGGTTGTGGCCCATAATAATATACCATTTTGGAATCGGACCAACTGTGTGAGCAAATTAAAAACCTTACAGCATGAATCCAGACCCACAAACCTGAAATTTTCATTCCTGCAATTGTTTGTGATTTTTTTTGCAACAAATATTTTTTGTATGATAATAATCATTATACCTTAGAAATAAATTTGGGGATAATCGAAATTACAAAATCCAATGAAAGTCACCTGCGTAATAAAAATAATTGTTTGTACAGAAAATCCTACAGTATTTACATTAGTCGGACTATTGTCCTCATCTTTGTCGCCATATTTGTCACAACGTTTCGGACGTTGTACACTCCGGCCTTCTTCAGGTGGGTGGAATTTCGAACTGAATCCTTTAATTCGATCACTGGGGTAGACTGTCCTAGTTCCACGTGCCATGTTTGATGGATGACGAAGGCCGGAGCATACAACGGCCGAACATTGTGACAAATATGGCAACAAAGATGAGGACAATAGTCCAGCTAATGTAAATACTGTACATAATACCTCATCTCAGAAATATAGACAGACTCAGAAAATCCTACGTACATAAAATTGTCTTAAGTGGAGGCAGAAGAATTATTGTTGAACTTTTAAAAGGTAAGTTTAAATATTAATACAATACTTAAAAGCAGCAATCAATTTTGAGTTCTTCTGTAGTTTATTGTTGCATATCGCATCTCCTCTTCCCTATCTATTGTGATGAAGACCCAATCAAGAGCCCTTCGCAGGAGCTAGCTTAAAAGCTGTTCAATAGGGTGGCTTTTAACCTAGTTATTAATGTTTCTGCTTTCTAATTCTTCCACACCCAGTAACCTCTTGTGTCTTAGTGGCTTTATTGCCTTGCTTGGGGTGAAATTAATTAAGAAAAAATACCAGATTCTTTCATCCTTTTACTAATTTGGTTTACTCATCTGAGACAATCTTCAGGGGGTTAAAGTCAAAATATTTCTTTATGCAAGGGAAATAACTTTTATAATTTTTTCATATATATATATATATATATATATATATATATATCCCATCAGTTTCAATATATGAGGGTCCAGTAGCTCAGTTCATACAACTGGACAGGCTATTCACACATATAATTTGATTATAATGGTGAAGGCTTATCCAGAATCAGTAAGTAGGACTGGACGCTGAGAACTAGTGCATAGTGTACCACAAGGTCTCCAAACAACCCTCTTCAGAGTGGTTACCAACCAAGGCTATAGGGCCCAACCTGTCCTGCTATTCACCCAATCCATAACTGTAGAGAAGAAAAACAGACCTATGCCTTTCCAAAGCTAAGTGAATGTAACGAACTTGACTGGAATTCAAACTTGGCTCTCAGTATTTTCATTCCAAGCACTATCCATTACACAGCCTAAATATTATATATATATATATATATATATATATATATATATATATATATATATATATATGTAGTCAAAGGATATAAAAACATGGCACCCAGTGAGGATTATTACACAAATGTCAGGGAATAATTAGATGGGTGTATTGCACAAGGGTTATAGTTGCTAGAGAAGACTACTAAATAAAGTAAGAAGCACCCCACCTATTCAAGGGTCTACACACACACACACAATTTAATTCAAGTAAATTGTGAATCATATTATAAGTCACTGAAAAGCATTTATACCATTTTTGCAATCTATGCAATAGTTACCCACTCAAATCATCACAGGAATTTCCATTGCTTACCTTTAACTATTGACCAAAACTTTTCAAATGCAACAATTTATTCCCTGACATTTATTAAGCTGAGTAAATGTAAATGGCACAGCCACTCGTATCGAAGGATGCCTGTCTACTAAGGCAGCTAACTAATTCCCATTGTAGACGCCTGCTCAGGCATATTTGTGTTTGTTCAACACCCACAAAGCCCACCTGTTGATCATACTGCAACTACATGGAGTGGATCTTAATTACAGTTTCTGGGAAAGTGCATATTATCTAGTGTGATCAACATTCTGAACAAGGCCAGCCCACTCAAAGCCTCGGTCATGATGACTTGTGACTTTGTGCTAGCACAATTATCAACAGCTTCCAAGGGTACCACCTACCCACTTTCACTCAACCTGTGGTATGGTTTTCAGGCACTTTCTCCTCCACACTGATAACATCAACAAGTCAATGTCCTGACAAATCGACCCTGGTGAAAATCAAACCGGGGTCTCAGAGTCAGAAAGTTAATGTTCTAACCACTCAGCCACATGCCCAAACTCATTACTAATATAATTATCAGTTAATTAAAACATAAATGAGATTTTAATAGCATGCCTTCAATAATGATTAATAAGTCTTTAAATAACAAAAAAAGAAGGTCATCTGAATGGATTTGTTACATAACAAAACAAAGAAATATGAGTTGTCAAAGTGCTTTTGTGCAGCACTAAATGGCCAGAAAATATCAAATTACCACTACACAAACTATTTTTAATTACTTTGTAATACACAGAAAGTATCACACTAGTTTTAGCTTCAAGCTACTAATGTAGACAAAAGATAAACTGTAATTATGACTGTTGTCTCACGTGAATCATGAGAGTAATAATTTATGACTATTATTACATTTAGAGATTCTTGATAAAATTCAAAGAACCTGTAATGTCATTGGTCCTGACCTGGCATCTCACCTTCAGTCACTTTCACACCAACATAACATAGCTTTCCTGTGCCTTATGTTTAAATACATTCATGGTAATTGTACTGATGAGCTTTCCTCTTTGGTACCAAGACTTTAGGAATTTAAGCCATAATATAGCTTCCCTCTGCCTTTTCTAGAAATATTTTCATGCTAATTGTTCTGATGAGCTTTCCTCTTTGGTACCAAGACTTTAGGAATTTAAGCCATAATATAGCTTCCCTCTGCCTTTTCTATGAATATTTTCATGCTAATTGTTCTGATGAGCTTTCCTCTTTGGTACCAAGACTTTAGGAATTTAAGCCATAATATAGCTTCCCTTTGCCTTTTCTATAAATATTTTCATGCTAATTGTTCTGATGAGCTTTCCTCTTTGGTACCAAGACTTTAGGAATTTAAGCCATAATATAGCTTCCCTCTGCCTTTTCTATAAATATTTTCATGCTAATTGTTCTGATGAGCTTTCCTCTTTGGTACCTAGACTTTAGGAATTTAAGAGCATTAATAGATTTGTGGCAAGGTCTCATCATTTTATTGTTAAAATTGCTAGATGTAACCGTAAGTTCTATGCTAACAATTTCTTCTCTCACAGCTTCTTGCTTCCCAGTCAACTTTGATCTTCAAAAGTTTAAATACAATGTCAATTATCATCTTCTGTCTTCTTAATTCTTGTTCGTTTATTATCCTCTCTCCTTAATAGTATTTTTTTCTCTCATTCTTAAACTCAGTAACCCCCTCCCCGCATCTTAGTGGCTTTATTGCCTTGCTTAGGGTGAAATGACTAAAACAAAAAATAGTCTCATGTTAATCATGATAGCCATAATTTAATTTCTGTCTGAATTTCTTTAATGAATTTCTTAAATTGATAACAAAGATTGTCAAAGAGAATGTTCTTTCTTACATGTTTTCTTTCACTTTGGTATAAGGAGTTCTATGGGACATTTTTTTTTTTTTTTTAAGATTTAGGAATCATTTTGTTAACCTAAGATTAAAGCCTTTAATTCTTACCAGTATGAAAATGACTGAAGCCGAGACACCAGATCAGGATCAATAAAATTGCTGATTCGTCTTTGGATTTTATCAAGGTTCTCTAGATATATAACAAGAGCACCAGACCATATATGACAGCAATATTCTAAGCATGGACGAATGGTAGTCTTATAAATCTGTAAGATGATTAAAGATTTTCTTAAAAAGTTAAGATGGAATTGGTTTCATCATCAAATAAAGGAAAAGAGTTCTACAATGTTCACATGAGATTCAAATTTCTTTAATTCTATCTGTTCTTGTCTGTTCCACTTGTTTTTTTAGACTTTCAAGTTCTTTGATAATCATTTTAGCTAAACCCACAATATTGGATACAATGGGTTATGCTAGACATTATCATATATTTATTTATTCAAAATGTAATCACAGCCATTTTCAGATGACTCATATTCAGTATTGTTCTCATAATTTTGAACCCAAATTTTGCACTAATGCATTTAAGAAAGGCATGAATCCATTTCTTCCCTCAACTATCAGTTAAATAGTAGCCTTGAGTGTTCAGAAAAGGAAAAAAAAAAATTTGGGCTATATACAAATGTTCTGTTTACAATTAAATTATGACAACTAATAAAAAGATACTTTTTGGAGAATATAAGGGTTGAAATTCTTGATTTAAATTTGAACTAATATCCTCATCTTTGCTATTATCACATTTCAGGCCTTCTGTTATGAAATGTAGAAGCTGGACCAGGATAGCAAACAA